CTGGATATACATCCTCCGTGAAAGAAAAATATCGTTCTGTCTCTCTCTCTGCCTTTCTCTTTGAAAAAGCAACAAGTGTAAACATTGCGAAAAAGCCTACGCTGTTTCATCCATGACTATAGCTGGAATTTCGATCGTGTTTCCTATTTGTTTAGAAATGTTATCAATTCGTTTCTTTTTTAATGGTTTGCTTAATTTAAATTGTTTAATTTGTTTTTATTTTAGTATCCTTTGTTTCGGATAATTCATTTCGAATGTTCTCTTATGTCAATATGTTCTTAAAATTTGCGTTTTAAGAATTTATGTAATTGAAAGTACTACGCAGAAACTGGTGTAAATAATATTTTAATGAATATTGTATTACAATTTTCTGATAGTTCGATAGAATTTATTAGAATAGATAACGTAAAGTAATATGCAAGAAAAATTGGACGAAGGTGTTTACATGATGGAAATTTCAAAATTAATTAACTAAATACAAATTGTCACAAATAAAAAATGTATTTACACCACTTTTCATTTTCTCGAACGTAATTAACCAAAACAAGAATGTCGTATACTCCTTCAATATCCGCGTCAATTCAATTCAAACTCGATCCGCTATATATAAGAGAAAAATGTGAAATGGGATATGTAAAATAAAATTACTCGGCCGCTTTCATTATGCAGACATTAACGAGTGTCTGTTGAACAACGGACACGGGCCCTGTCAGGATACGTGTCGGAACACCATAGGCGGCTATGAATGTTCCTGCGATGGTCTACAGGATACTGTTCTGTCAGCCGACAACCACACGTGTCAGGACGCAGGTCCCTGTAGCGTCAACAACGCCGGATGCTCCCACACCTGTCTCTCCACGATGGGACGAGTATTTTGTCTCTGCCCTGATGGTTTCATCCTAGAGGATGATTGGAAGACCTGTCAAGGTAATAGAATTTCCTGATCGTTCGCCATCTTTCCTGGTCCTGTCCATTGTTCCCCCCTGGAACATTTGAATGACAAAAACAGATTTTAATAATATGCTATAAGAAAGAATTGTGGAAGATATGGAATAACTATATGTTTCGAGCGAGTAAACGAGCGATTCGAGTAAATGGACGATTCGTACAATTGGGAACGTCATCCTACATAGTCAAGAGACTTCTTAATTACTCTCGTCAGAGAAATCGAGAACGTGTGTAATACGCATATATGACAGGTTTATAAACGACATTCTTTCTCTTTGGGATTTTAATCGTCTTTTTGGCTAACGTATAAAGATCTCCGTCTATTATGAATATGCTATTGTTAGAAGTGTATGAGCTGCAAATAAAAGCTGCCTGCCATTTAGTAGCTGGTTTTCAAAGTGCTTCTTTTCCTTCTGACCACTTACTCGAACGAATACAATATCAATCAATTTTTATATTTAATTTAAATTCCATATTTAATGAATATATCTAAACGGAAAAGCTTGTAAAACATTGCCAGCTACATGTTTTCAATTTATTATTTAATAAATCAAATTTTTTACCTAGTTTTATCTAAACATAGATCGAGTCGCGTGACAAAAGAATATCCATGAATTTTTAGGGTAAAGATTGTTATCGTTCTATTATTTTTTACTGCAATTCTCTTAAAACGCAAAATAATATTTAAAGTAAACAAGAAGTACAACAATTTATGAATTATCGCGTTTAAAAAGATTTCTTTCTTACCTCCTATTAAACAGTGCAATGTAATCGCACGCAATATCCTCTTCTTCATCTATGAGAAGCTTTACTGAAATACATACATAAATAAAAGTTTTAGCATGAAAGTATCCATCATTATTATCTCGATGAGTTATAACAGAAGTAACATCGATACTAGGAAGATTCATTTATCGAAAAAATGAAAAATTATAGCGCTTAAAATAAAAAAAGAAATAATAGGATGTTTTATTTCTTTTCTAGACGTGGACGAGTGTGCCCAACCAGATTTGCAAACGGAAATGTGCCGGTACGGTTGCATCAACACGCCAGGATCTTATCGATGCGCCGAACCAATGGAGTTGAAGGATCAACCGATACTGGACAGCTTGTCGATCACATGCCTGCCAGGCTACGAGGCCACCCCCGATGGAACTTGTATCGGTAAGTGGTTTAATCCGTACGGGTGATTTAACAGGAAGTTGGATTTGCCAGCGAAGCCCCGCGGCAGACACTTTTCACTGCGAACATCCACTCCGCTGTGTAATACATTGTACTTCGGTTGCCTTGCGATTCTTGTGATTCTGTGATTTCCATGCTTTACGATTTACGAAACGAACCACTGGTTTTAAACACAGTTTAAAACGATTCACCAAATCATCAAATGACGATACTAAATCTTTTGTCATTCGACGTTTCGATAATTTGATTTAAATTGATCAATCGTTTCGTTATTTAGTATTCTAATAATCGAGATTTCATAAAAATATTTGCTTATATCTTGATCTAAACTTTGAATATTTCTAAAAAGGTATAAAATAAATACTTGACTGTTGTTTTTATAGTTTGCATTAATAAATTTTTCTGTATTCTGGATGCTACTCTGAATACACTAGATAATCCAGAATAAACCAGATTATCATTCGAAAGTAAGGTTTTTCTTCTCACTATGTCGTCACGAGTAATTAGCACAGTTTACCGTATATTCGTTAATGAAACGGATACTTAACAAATATCGAGTTATGAAACGAGTATAATTCGTTTCCATTATATTTCCGCAGTGTATTTAAAACAACGAGACGTCCTAACATTCGTAACGATGATATTCTTCACTGGTCGACATAATTGCGTTTGTCGTTCATTTCGCGGCGCAAAATTCCAGTATAGTCAACTGATGGGTAGTACGATAACAATTCCCTATAGGGAGATGAGCGTCCTAACGAGATTCTGCCGCCTGGCCCTAGTCGTGCCCCATAATACCGTTCTAGACGATCCGAGTATATACGTAATCGAATTAGCCTGCACATGGATCCACTCGGTAGGCGAGCGGCTTCTCTGCTGCAATATTGGGTCGAGATTCTGGATCATCAACTGTCGGAAAACTGTCCGAATTAATGGCCTCGTGGCTGCTTCGAAATGTTTCACGTTAGCTTAGAGAAAGCGTTTCTATTATTTTCCATTTCTTCGTATAAATTATGAATAGAATCCATTTTTATCAATTCATTTTTATTTATTTCATTTTAACCAATGATTAGTTCGCGGATTTTTATGTACTTATAGGAAATTTAAAATTGCAAAAATGCACATACTACGCAAGTTCATAATTACTTGGATAAAAGGATATTCAACTTTTTATGTTATTCAACTTTCAATAAGATTTTCCACTTTTTCTAAGCACATTTAGAGAAAATGTTTGTTGTTACACACTTGCACTGTTACTTCGTGGTTAGAATCTTCTCAAGATCAATTTTCTAACAAGATCTTATTTCCGACTTTGACCTTTACGACACCTTCTAAACCAATTTGGTTGAGCAATCATTTGAGGGAATTGATATAGAGATGAAAAGATTTATAGATGATAAGTTTCAATTTTCAAATAACTTTTACTAACAAATATTAATTTACTTTTATATAATTTACTATAAGAGACTTTTTCATTCATTTGTTTTCTGCATTCAACAATGCCTTTTTATAGTGACAGAATCTTCTTTGGCGATTGAAAATAGTCTGAAATGCAAGTGTGAAGTGGCTAAATTAACAACTTTTGCTAGTACTCACGACTAAGGATCAGAATTTATCAGAACTTAGCTAGGTTGCTATTGTTTCCTTATGTCGTGCACGAATTACAAATCACTTATCACCGTAACTATCTAAGTGGAATTAGCCAGTAAGATTGCCATCATGCATCATTTTCTTATTAGACGAAACGTATAATCTACTTGTGTCTCGAGACGTTGGCAAGAAACTTTGATCTTAAGCGCAACTATCTATCATGCAAAACTTGTCTCAGCGACTGCTCAGTCTCTGACAAACCATCATAAAAGCTTAACTGATAGGATCAGCCGACTCTATTAATAAAAGATAACAACGACAATTTATATCTTCGTATAAAGTATCTGAGCGTTTCATTCAATTTTATCATTTGATTATCATTTGAAAATCTTGAAACTTGAAATATCTCTTTTATTTCACTTTTCTTTGACTTTTCTATGCTGGTAGAAAATTTTTATCATGGAAACAAATTCTTTCTATTTCACATGTTTAAGGTAAAAAAAAATATCGTTATACTTTAAACGATAAAATTGTATGTAGTACATTTTACGAATATCTAAATCTTCAGATTTATCTCTTAACTCGAATATTCTTAACCGCTTGTTAAATAAGGTTTGCCTCTTTCAAACCTCTTTTCTAATTCTTCGTTGTATTCCATTCAGAACGAATGTTTTCAATATTCCGTAATAATTCCGGAAGATCAAAGACTCAAATGTGGATATATTTAATTTTCCTCTCAAAGCTCTCTTTTACAGAAATTCGCTGCCGTTGAAATTTTGTCACTGAAATTCTTCCAATATTGCACGAGAATTACAAAAAACCAGAACCAGTCACTGCGAAATGCGAACTTCTTTTCTAATTCGTCATTGTTTTTTATTACAAATTCTTTCGGCATTTCACAAGAATTATAAAGTAGCAAATATGATAAAATTTACTTTTCCTTTCATGTACTTTCTTCATACAGAGTGGTTGGTAACTGGTGGTACAAGCGGAAAGGGGGGTTCAAGGGGGTGATTCTACGCGAAAAAAGAAATCGAAAATATAGAATAAAAATTCTCTTTTTCTTTTTAATTTTTTTTTAAATCTACAGTGAGATCCGTTATAACGAGGCGTGATAAAGTGCACGCGTACCGAGCGAAAATTCAAAGTCGATTTTCTCGAAAACAAAGCCTCAAACGAAAAATTTTTATTCTATATTTCCGACTTCTTTTTTCATGTAGAATCAGCCCCTTTCCGCTTGTACCACCAGTTACCAATCACTCTGTATATACAGCGAAGGTAAAAGAAAGAAAGGAAAGGATGATAAACGGAGAAACGCAACTTTATATCTATCTATTTTTCGGCTTCATAGTCTAGAAAAAAGATTTGGCTTACATATTTCTAGTTTTCACTCATTCCTTTACAGGTGCTAGAGCATTCACCACAATACAAAACTCGTACCGTACTCCCTTATCAAAACATATATCCCCTTCTTTCAATATTCCGCAAGAATTCTAGAAGGTCAAAAAGATAATCATCGCAAAATACAGTTTCCTGTGTTCGAATCTCTTTTCTAATTTTCTAACATCATCCATTCGAAACGAATTCTTTTAATGTCCTACGAGATTTTCTCAGAGTAAAGAGTCAAGCGTTGCGAAATGCGACCACTTTTCATTCAAATGATTATAATATTCTGCAAGAATTTCCAAAGGTCAGATCATCGAGCGTGGTAAAACTTAATTTTCTCTTCTATAATAATTCGTCGCTATGTTTCGCTAGAAACGGAACATTCTTTGGATGTTTGAGATGTTTACTAAAATAAAAAGCGCAAAATTCACGAAAAACCCCTGTTCCTTTGAACCCCTGTTCTAATTCACCACCGTTTTATGGTTACCATTCGAAACAAACTCGCTAGGGGTTGCAGGAAACAGTAGTCGAGAGAAATGGTTTGATTTAAGGGGATTTCGTCTAAAGGAACCTGCACGTTCACGATTCTGATTACAAGGTGACAGTTTGCCGGAATTTCTCCCATGGGATATAAAGGGTTGGTTGGTTGAGATGGCAGGGACAAATGTGAACTTACCGTGAAAATGGAGACGAATTCATTAATGAAGTTATGCCCGGCTCATTGTGTGATGCACGAAGCGGTTAGTTCCGGCCGAGTTAATTCACAAAAATTAAAAATTCGAGGAGGTAATTTATCGGGAAATTTCATCGAGTTTAACAACGCACTTTGAATTAAATTTTTGGTCTGGTGTTTCGTAAATCGTGGATGTAACGATGATTAAGTTTTCATTCATGCTATTGTGGTGTTTCGTTGCGCAGCTGTTGTTGACAACTTCGAGAACGGTGCGATTTCTTACTTTAAATTGTTGGAAAATTATGGAAGAGTTCTTCTTTTATCGCATAAGTAACGGAAATTCTTCTTTTCTTAATAAGGAAATTTATCGAGATTTGTGTCGTCACTGAAAATATTATTTTACACGTGAGAATATACGCTTCTTTTTAAATATTTGCTGCTCTTATTTTATTTTATTTACGTTTTTATTGGGTTCGATAAATTTTTAGACAATCTTTTAAATTTAGGAATACCTTTTTTTATTACGAACGAGATGCGAATTGTTTTCGGAATCTAGTCATATGGATTTATTTCTAAGTTACGTACGTTTTTTATGTCCTTTCATTTCCAATATTTTCCAGTCAATAGTTTTACAATTTACAACAATAATTCGTTGCTCGTCGGTATTTTTGAGACTCGTGATTTAAAATATTTCTGTTAATTGGGTTTTATCAAGATAGAATCAAAAAATAATCAGTTTCGAAGAAATATTGTATAAAGTATGAATGATATTTGTCAAACATAATACCAATTAATTATGGTAATATGAATGTAGTACCAATGATTATTAATATCTGATATTAAGAGAAAAAGTCGACTTTCTTGTTAACGAATAAATTCAATTATTGAAAAATAATTCATTCTGGGAACATCAAATTACTAAAGAATACTTGGAATTTTTTATCGAAATGAATTTCAATGAAACGAATTTAATTCCTTTTATTATCTTAATTGAAATACTTTCAAACATAATGAACGTTCATTATTGTTACATTGACTAATTAGTTCATAATAAACCTTTAATTATCTTCGAATTAAACGTATTCGTGTTTCTACGTTTTATTATCTCTGAGTGCAGTAACATCAACTTTCAGTGATACGTATGAATATGAAATAAAAATTTGGTATGTGTAATTGAAGAAAACGTTTGGAAAATATTGTTTAAACAAACATCTTTGAACAGTCCTTGCACAAAGATATTGCAATTCCAAACTAATAAATCATTCTAATACCAAACTGATCTTTTGAAAAGCGATCACAGAAATCTTATTTTCTGTCTAAGAAGGATTCCAAAGCTAAAAACACGCTGAAAGGATCTGTAGATAGGATTTGAACTGA